CAGGTGCAAATATGGAGAGACAACTGGCACTGACCAGAGCAAGAAACCAGCCACTTGGACTTCCTAGGCTCTAATCCAGAACCTTCCACGGCCTGATGGAGTCACCGGCTGGCATCCCACCTTGTTCCTTCTCCTGCTCCCCTTTCCCTTCCCCTCCTCCAGCCTTTTTCTTTTTTTCTTCCATCCCTTTTCACGGCCATTTCAGGGCTCAAGGACAAGAGGATAACAACCTGAAATAATGTGACTAAACGTCCTCCCAAGTCACTCCGGGGCTTCTACAGCTGTCGGCTAAAGTCCCGACATGGAGACTTGTCCTCTGCTGTGGTAAATGTGTCTTCGACACTTCTTTCCTTTTAAAGAGCAACCCGAGTGACATAAACATCAAATTCAACTCACTTTCCTCCCAGTCTTTGCTCTCGGGGAGCTGGGCAGAGATAAGTCTGGCAGAGGGAAATCCTGGGGGAGGTGACATATTTTGGGTTTGGCTGCGGGACCCAGAGAGTCAACCTGATCACCTGGGGCTCTGTGGAAGCCAAATTGCTGAAAATAACTTCAAGTCTTAGGTTTGGGGCAGGTCCCCACCTTACAGTTATCTGTTCTTATCAGAGGTCAAGAAGTGACCTGAGAAACAAATTCAGCTCTTTGGAGTCTGAAATGTAACCCACTGAAAACACAAAAATAGGATTTTCAACTGGCAGGATTGTTACTTTGTTGAATACCTTGAAAATACAATATTCCTTTTCATTGGCAATTTTATTCCCAAGAATGAAATCTAACACCATAATCAGGTCAGGGCATAGGTATGCAGGTACAATGTTATTCATAATATGGAAAAATTGAAGGCAACAGAATACCAAAATAGAGATTTATTTAGATCAGCTATGGGATAGCTCTACAATGTGAACTACTCAGATTTCAAATAGTGACCTAGATGTATATTGTCAAGAAAAGACATTTAGAGCATTCTTAAATGAGAGAGCGGGTTAGAATACAATTTTACGGGTATAAGTCTAGAAAATTATTTGCAGAGGAAAACATGGGAACACAAGTAACAAAATAGGAATATTTATCTCAGTGAGTGGTTGGGTTGTACATAGTTTTTGTCTTCTATAAGCTTTTTGAATGATTCCAGATTTTATTACCACCTATGACCAAGTATCAAAAATATGAAAGGTTATAAAGTTAGTTAGCTGCCTGCCCATTCCAGCTATTGCCCGAATTGTCAGACTGTTAAATCACAGGGCTGGAGCTAGGAAGGTAAATTTCTTACTCTAAACAAACAAAGGAAGAAAAATAAAACAAATTGCAAATTCGAACAGTTGACAAATCCCCAAAATGAAGAAGAATCAAGAAAAGTACTGTATTATTATTAATCAGTTTTCTGATGTAATATTTTCCTTACACTCTGTTTTCTTCTCCTTCTTCCTCTTCTCCTTCTCCTCCTCCTTCTTTTTTGGGTACCAGGAATTGAACCCAGGACCCCATGCTTTCTGTTTTCTTCTTTATAAGACAATGACGAGGCCATTTCATTTTCTATAAGGACTAAAAAGGGGACTCAGTCTTTCCACCAGAGAAGATGGAAATGGGTGCAGAACTGGGTTTTGAGAATTAGGCAGAACTCTCTTCAGCCTAAACATGTCATGGGTATAGGCACTGTCACGTCACTTTAAACTCAGCAGATTTGGAAAAAATCTGTTGATTTTCTGAAATACGAGTTGCGCGTTTTCAGGGTATTTTGTGCTTTCTTTTCCAGGGGTTCTCCTCACACATCCTCATCCCTGACTCAGTCCTCCCCCATCACTGGGAGCCTGGCTGACGTATTCAGACAGCAGGGACGGTAAATGTCTCCCTTTGTGTTTCTGCAAGCCACTCTGCCTTAGCACTGGGCGACTTCACAATCCTGGAACCTGGCCATTGTTTCCCTTTGACATTTATTTTCTCGTCTGCATCAGCTATGTTACTTCTGATATAAACTGAATTGTTGTTATGATTCTGCTAAGGAGGTCAGAAAATTTTCTACTGGTTTCAATTGCTTGCCATTGTCTCGTTTTTACATTTCCTCAACTTTCTGTATTTTTCTTTCAATTCTTCCATACATAAATAAATTCACAGATGCCAAGGAACGGTACTGTAGACTGGATGTGGTGGCGCACGCCTGTAACCACAGCACTCAGGAGGCTGAGGCAGGAAGATTGCTGCAAGTTTGAGGCCAGCCTGGCTATAAAGTGAGTTCAAGGCCAGCCTGAACTGCATAATAACACCTTGTCTCAAAAAGACAAAAAAAGAAAATAAGATAGTGCTCTTCGTTCAGATCAGGACAAACTGGGAGCCTGCCATTTCTAATTTGTTTGTTGAAATGTTCCACAATACATTTCCAAATATCAGTTAAAATGCTGCCTTTCAGCTCTGTGGAACACACCATTCCTCTTAACAAGACAAGGCCCTTCTGGTGCATCAATGATGGTATGAGCCGAATTGCTGATTTGGGGCGATTCCTTCTAACTAGGTGTAAACACAGATGGACTCTTTCCTCTTGGCCTCCCTGTGGCCGCTGATGGGAAGCCCTTTCACAGACTGTTTGCTGTGCATTTGAAATCTGGTTTCTCCTCTGCTGCCCACCCATCTCTGGCGCCAGGCAATGTAGCGCGTGTTTATGCTCCACGGTCACATATGCTGCTGTGTGGTTTTGCACAGAGGGTGGCAGGAATAATCCTGGAGATGGGACAACTAGCAAAACCGACTCTACACAGGAACGGCTGTGAACAGCACAGGTCTGTCCTGTGTGGCCAAAGTACTCTTGGCAGGCTCCCCAGTGTGGGCAACCACTTCCACACCACCAGATGCAAGGAGCCGGGGCACGAGGAGGGACTGGGGACAGTGGTCTTAACCATCTATGGTTAAATATCCTGTGTTTGCAAATGTCAATCAAACAGCACAGGTGAACATTCTCAGGGCCCCTCAGGGCTGGGCAGGACTGGGCCCGCACAGTGAGGACCCTGCTCTAACACTCCCTGACTTCTTGCAAAACAGATCAGCTTTCAGTGCGTGTGTGTTTGTGTGTGCGTGCATGCGTGCATATGAATGGCAATAATGGCACTAACCTGGGCCCTTAGCACTGAACTACATCTGCAGCTCTTTTCACGTTTTAAGACAAGAACTTGCTAAACTGCCAGGTTGGCTCTGCAAAGTGAGATCCTCCTGCTTCGGCCTTCCAGAGTGCTAATGTTACAAGCATGCACCAATACACCCTTTCATCTCCCTGTTTAAAGAGCGAACCCCTCACTCTTCTCCGTGTCTCATTCCTGCTTTAGATTCCTCTGTGGAGCCTGTGATCAGTAACACACAGCATTCTGTCTCCTGCCGCTGGGACCTGAGCTCCCTTAGCTGTGGCCTTTCTGTCCTGGGCTGCTGCATCCGGGGGCACAGGGGAGCTGCCCCTGCTGCAAATGGCTATTCCCCCGCGGGGGAAGCTCCCAGGACCGCCTCCTAGAAAGAGCAGTGAGAGTGCCCTTGCCCTGAGGTCAGTTTCAAGAAAAGAGAAAAGCAGAGTGAACCGCGGGGAGGTCTTCCAGCATCTGGGAGTTGTTTTGGTAAAGAACCGTCTTCTTATGAAGTGAATCACCAGAGGGTTTGATCACCAAGCTATAAATCCCTGCCTCTCCTTCGCTAAGCAGGGTTACCGTGGTATTCATAGGAAATTGCCAAATCATATCATCTCACTTCCCAGTTCAAGGGGGAAATACAATAAAACACAAGATGGGGGAAAAAAAAAAAGAGGGGCATTTTAAATGATTGCTCTTGTTGATCATTTCTTCATTTTTACTTTTCTTTCTCCTTCTGACTCACAAAGAATCAAAGAAACCCGAAAACATTGCACCAGGAAAGGAACCCGGTGGTTAGGAGCTCATCCCTCTTGGTCAGGGATGGCCAGGCACCATGAAGCAGTCAGTGAATTTCACAGCAATAAATGAGATGCTACTTAGAAATACAAAATGTCGGGGGAGCTACCACGAAACAGCTTTTCAAAAAGTTTAAAAAGACAGGCACGAGAAGTTATGATTCTACCGTCAGGAAAGAAAAGCTACCACTTCGGTGTTGTCCCCTGATCCTTTTCATATGCATGGATTTTACACGCATGTGCTTTTTGTGTCCTCTCTTTTCCTCATCTGCCTCATATCAAATAAATCTTCCCTGTGACAGAATACACTCACTGGTGCTTGTAATTTTAGGGATGCATAATATCCAATTCTAAGTGATAACATTCACTAAGCCAGTCAGCTACACCTGGACAACATATATGTTGCTTACAAATTTTTTTACTCTTAAAATGTATAAGCTTTTAGTGAAGGTAGTATTCGTCTCCTGAATATATCCAGTTATCCTCCTAGAATGAATTTCTACAAGTGGAAATACTGAGTTGGAAGTGATGAATCTTTCATGATTCTTGAAAGTCATAATGCAATTCTTTTTCCAACAGATTTGTACCAATTCACAGTGATGTCAGTGAATATTTACTAATTTCCAGTAAACCTTTGGCTAGTTTAATATTTTAAAGGGATCCTTACTGTAGTATGTGATTTTTTTCTGTATCTATTTTATTTTCTCCTTGTCACTTATGCAATTTGACGGAGCTGTCTCAATATTTTATTCTTCTTCATGGGCTATATATAGCAGATTTCAACCTGCATTTTCCCCGTGTTTTAAATTTCTGGCCGTCATAAAACAATTTAGCACGTATACACACATCGTTCAGATATTACCGATTTCATTCCTCGTATCATGTGTAGTCTTAGAAAATCCTCTCCATGTCCAAGGCTTTAGCAAGGCTTTAATTCTGTTCGCTGCCTAATTTTTAATTCTGTCTAATCCATTCGTTTTGATGTAGACGTAGTTCAAATTGATCTCTTCCCTAAAAGCTAACTAGTTAATAAACCTCCTCCTTTAAATATGTTGGAAGAAACCCTTGCGTAATGTAAGCAAGACTAAGTCCCCCGGCAGAGCTCTGCGCTGGCACCGTCCTGGTTCTGCGGGGTCAGACACAGAAGGGACAGCCCCGGGGGACTGAGCTCGTGGTGAGGCTCCGCAAGAACAGAAGAGGCCACAAGCAGAAGAAGCCGGAATGCACTTAAATGCCCAATGGTGCCCCAAACTGGGTCAGTGTTCTTGTTTTGTTAGTCTTAGATTTTTCAAATGCGAAGGTGTCCGGCTGATCCCCTGACCGAGCACAGGGCGCAGAGCTGGCACTCTGCAGACGCTCGGGATGCGGTAGGAATAACTCGGTCGGTTATCCGGACCGAGGAAGCAGAAGGGGACGGGAGAAAGGCGCGAACCCAGCGCACCGGCCGCGCCGTCTCCGCTCGTGGCGCGCACACTCCGGTCGCGCAGCCCGCGCACTCCCGCGGTCCCCCGTGGCAGACGCCCACCCGAGCTTCCCCAGCCGTGCCAGGCTCAGCGGCTCCTCGCCCAGCGTCTGCGGGTCGCATCTCCGACCCAGGCGAGAGCCTCAGGCGCCGGCCAGGGACTCGAAAGGCGGCCCAGTCCCGGCCCGGCCCGGCCCCATCTCTGTCGCTTCCCCGGCCCCGGTCCCTTCCCGCTCCCACGCGCCCATCCGGGCTCGCGCTCCTTCCCGAGGCCACCGGTGCGCCGGCCGCACATCAGACCCGCTAGCTTTTCCTCGCCGGGCTCCGCCGGGCACCGGAAGGCAGGTGGAGGAGACGCGCCACCCCAAGGTCGCCCACTCCACCCGCGGTCTGCATCGCGGAACGGGGTCCGGTCCGTGATGGGCGGAGGCCCTGATCCCGCGTCTGTCCCGAGTGACGGCCAACGCGGGGTGTCGCTGGCTCGACCCGGGCTACGGTCCCCACACGTCTCGGCTCACTCGGGATCCTCAGGCCCTCGGCGACAGGGAGGAAAAGTGACGCTGCTTGCCGCAGCCACGCGCGCCCGGGGCGCAGGGGGCGATCCTCCCGAGAAAGTCCCCGCGGCCGCGCGCACGAAGACGCCGGGAGACCGGGAAAAGCCGGTGACCCCGAGCCACCCTCCAGGGTTGCTCAACCCGAGCTCCCCGAGCGCGCCCCCGCGCCCCGCGTCGCCTCCGTGGGTGGGCTTCGCGCTCCCGCCGGGTTTCGGAGCCACCACGTGATTTCCACGAAGCTCAGGGCAGCAGCGGAAAGGCGACAGGGGTAGGACGGGGGACCCCGAGGTGCAGCGGGAGGGCGAGGGGGGCGCGAAGGAGGCGTGGGGGAGCAGCAGGGGCGGGGCGGGAAGGACCGCGGGGGGGGGGCGGGGCGGGGCGCGGACCCGGCGGGCGCGGGAGCGCGGGCCCAGCGGGGGCGGGGCGAGGTCGGCAGGTGCGGGGCGCGGGGATGCCGACTGCGCGCCCCTAGGCAGAGCCCGCGTGCAGGGCCCGCGCGGCGGCGGCCGCTCCCCGCGAGGCTGCGCGCGGGCGGCCGGGCCGGAGCAGAGCAGCGCCCGGGATGTCGCAAGGGCTCCCGGCCGCAGGCGGTGTCAGCGTCCTGCAGAGCGGCGTCGCAGCGCCCGGGAACGCGCCACCACCGCAGGTAGGGGGCGCGGGCCGCGGGGAGCCGAGGTGGGTGCGGGGCGGAGCCCGAGGCGGGCAGAGGGCCTGGGTTGGCGCGGGCTCGACGTGAGACCCTGCCGCGAGCCCTGTGTCCGCCGGGTGGGGGTGGGGACCGCACGTGGGGTCCGCGCCGTCTTCCCCCTCGTTGCTGCTCGATCTGGGGAGCAGAAGCCAACCCCAGTGCTGCTGCAAACCGTCACCCCATCCGGACAGTTGCCTCCCACGACCCCAGCGTGTACGCAGGACCCGCGGGAGAGACAGGCCAGGGCACTTGCACAGATGGCAGCTGGGACACTGCACGCGCAGCCGCTTAGGGACCTGATGGGTTTTTGCATTCTTATGCTCCCCACCCCCATTCGATCCCAGGTACCTGGTGTCACCCAGTGACCAGGTGTCACACATATCAGAATTGGAGTCTTGGCCACATGGGCTGAGTAACCTTCATCTATTGGCTTAACTTTTTGGAGCCTCAGTTTCCCCATCTGTAAAATGACTATAGCATCAATCACTCCAGATTTTTATGAAGACTGAGATAAGGCTAATGTGCACATATCTCAAGACTTTGCACACCTCTGTCTTGTGTAAATGTTTCTGTTGGCTTGACAGGTATGATCATGCCTGATGGGTTATAAATTCAGTTTAGAGTGGCAGCCCCTGAGGGCAGGATGTGTGCAGCTCCTTTGTGTCTTGAGATGTTTTTGATTATGGTGTATAAAGAGGCTAGCCTAGTGACAAGAACGATGGGGGATCCAATCAGAAATTGCAGCAGGCTTCACGAAGACAGGTACCTGCTGCACGGTGCTGTGCTGTATCAGGCTAAGCCTTAGGCTGCCAGCCAGAAAGTGCCCGTGGTTTGTGGCTGGTGTCCTCACTGGCTAGGAGAGAGTGTGGCACATGGTCCGTACGCAGTTAATGCGTAGTGAAGGTAGGGATGAATTGCACCTATGATAAGTGAGGAAACTGAGAAACTAGAGAAGTTAAGCTGTTTACTCTGGGCCACACTGATCATGAGAGACTAAACTAGGACCTGCGAGACGCTAACCCTCTATCCAGCATGTCCTGGTTGATGCTCCACTTATGTGTCTCAGGACTTGTCTCTGGACCCACACTTTGCCACCTGCAGACCTGTCTGTCTCTGTTCCCTCAGCCGTGCTGTCAGGCCTCTGTTTCTCCTTTATGCTGGCATTTTTGTGCATGGGCTAGAACCCCTTACCTGCCTACCTTGGGGAGGGGAGGTGTGTCTTTCTTATGAGGGGTACGAGACCACAGAAAAAGATAACTAAAAGGGTTAGTTTGTATGATCGATGTTTGCATTTCATTAATATTTGTGTTCAACTCGTGTGTGTCTGTGCACGCGCCACTGGCTCTTCCTCCTCTTCATTATCCATCTTCTTCGCCTTTTTCATCTTCTTTGGAGGCCTTAAGAGTAAGGCCAGGGATTTAGCTCAGCAGCTTAAGTGTCTACCTGGCAAGCTCGAGGTTGTGAGTTCAATCCTGTGTACAAAAAACACTAGTATTTTTTTCCCTCTTTTGAGATCTTCTCATGGGGTCTGGAATGCAAATACTTCTGTGTTTTCCATGTTTTTTAGAATACACAAAGTGTATTTAGCACGGCAGGTACATTTTCCTGTTTACCTGTTTCATTTTTATACCTGTAAAATGAAGAAGGATTTGATGTATTTGGCACAATTCCATTCATAGCTGAGTCTTCTTTTTTCTTTCTTTTTCATTGCTCTGCTGGGGATTGAACCCAGGGCCTTTTCTTGGAGCCGGACCCCGGTGCTTTTTGATTTTTTTTTCTTTTGAGACAGGGCCTTCCCGGGTCACTCAGGGGTCCAGGCTGTCCTTGAAGTTGTGATCCTCTTGCCTTGGCTTCCTGGAGTGCTGGGATTATGTAGCTTGAGTTTCAGGTCACATCGTACATTTGCATTTTGACTTACTCTGTCCCCTGAAATGAAGCGTGAGTCAGGCAGTGTCCAAAGAAGCACTCTGTCGGCACAGCTTTCTGATCACTGTGTGGGAGGATCACCCGCGTGGCTTAGAGCAGTGCTGGGCGTATAATCAATCACAGGGTGACACGGCTTCCAGGGTACCTGTATGTAAGTGGGGCCCTAAGGGCTGGCCGCACAGCAGGTTCGAAATAGCAAAGCCGCCCCCACTTTCCCGGTCTCAGATGAGCAGCAGAACACCACAGCCCTTCCTGGCACACGCCCTGTGGGGTAGAGGTTTGTGAACGTTGGTTTGGAGACCCAGCAGACCTGAGTTCCACTTCCCGCTGCCCGCGGGGAGTGCGATACCTGGAGCAAGGTTTTAGCCTGAGTTTCTTATTACTCATCTTTTAATTTTTTGCTTTTTCAGGCAGGGTCTCAGTGTGTAGCCCAGACTGGCCGCAAACTTGGGGTGATCCTCTCACCTCAGCCTCCTGAGTGCTGGGGTATCAGGCATGTTCCTTTGTGCCCAGCTTACTTTGCAAACTTGTGGTGCTGGTGGGACACAAGCACTGTACCCCGAGGTGTAGCTGCAGCCCTCCTGCTCCCATCCCGGGGATCAAGGACACACGAGTGTCTGTGTCAGGGAGATGAGGGGGCTGTGATTGGGTCCCTGCTGCCAGCCAAACATGAACTGGTGGAGGTCAAGGAGCAATGCCCAGTGAAGGGGAGGGCAGGGAAGGGTTAGGTGAGGGATGTCTGTATCACTGTCACCCAATGTCACCCCCAGAGCCCTGAAGATGATGACAGGAAGGTCCGAAGGAGGGAAAAGAATCGAGTTGCTGCTCAGAGGAGTCGGAAGAAGCAGACCCAGAAGGCTGACAAGCTCCACGAGGTGAGGCTGTGGTTGGCAGCGCCACAGGGAGGAGCCACCGGCGTGACAAGGATGTCCCCGTGGCCCTCAGTGGGCGGCACCCTCCAGGTCCTTCCCTGCCCGGTGGTGTTGAGTCTTCACTCATGGACCTCTGCGCTTCACCCCAGAACACACTTTCATGACAAAGCTGAGCAGAGCGAGGCGCCGCCCTCCACCCTGATGCCTGTTAAAACCCTGATGCTGCTTCTTTCCGCATCTCACTTCCCTGCTGCTTAAACCGAGTAGTCTTCACCTGGGACCCCGGAGCCCAGTTCCGAGTCATTCCTCAGCGCTCCGTGCCTTAATTGCCAGTCCTCCGCCTCCACCCAGCACATGTGTGTGCACAGGTGTGTGTATGAGTACACACACACACACACACACACACACACACACAGAGGCGCTTTTAAGGAAATTGTTTCCAGGGGGCCACCAGTGCCCAGGCACCCTCTTTCCAGGGCCGTCTTTCTGGTCTCACCATGCTTGACCTTGCTGGAACATTTTCCTCCAAGTCCATCCCTTTTTGAAGTTTTTCTCCTTTTGCTTTGAAAGACCACACTTTCCAGTTCTCCAGACCAGCTTCACATTTGTTTATTTATTTACTTATGGTGGTCCTGAGGAACCGAACCCAGAGCCTGTGTGTGCAAAGCAAGAACTCTACCACTGGGCCACAAGCTCAGCCCCACCACTTTTTAATTCTCGGTGTTGGTGTTGACAGCATTTCCCACGCTGCCCCCCCCCTTTAATCTCACCCTGGAAGTGGGAACTTGTTCATCTTTCTCCTGGCATCAGCTTCCAACAGAGTTCCCCAGGCAGGCAGGGCCTCCATCCTGGACCCTGGCACGGCACTGTCTGCTTAGGAGTCTTCCTAGATGGCAGAACGCCCTGTGTTCAGTGACTTTCTTCTCCCAGGCCTCACTGGTAGCTCACGGTGCCCACCACCTTCCTTCCCTCTCCTCAGAGCAGGTGCCTGGTGTCTGGGTTTGTTCCCTGTGCTCTTGCTGACTGCCACATTGATTTGACTCGTGGTTCTGGGGCTGGGACATCCTGAGGGCCAGCTTGTAGCTTTGTAGCATGATAGAGGGCGTCCTGTGGCCAGGATGGATGGATTGGGGACCAAGATTCCAGCACATCCTCTTCTGGGGGACACATGCAAACCATAGCATGGGAGTTTCTCTTCCAAGATGTTGTTTTCCTTGATCTGTGGCATCATCCCTCAGCTGGACATGAGAACCGCTCCGAATCAGGAGCTGCCCTCGGGAGCATTCAAGGATTTACCCAGAGAATCAGCAGCAGGTCTCCTCTTGGAGGGTCGGTGTGCACAACAAACGGTTTTGGTTTAGCTTTTTCCTGCCGTGCTTTCATGCTTTCCTGTCACAGGTTGCCTTAGCAGAGCCAGTCTGAGAGGTTGACACACAGAGCCTCCGCTGTCAGGTGGAGAGAAGGGCATCTCTAAAAACTAGCCAGCAGTGAGCTCAGGATGAATTTAGAACACTCTTAATCCAAGGAGATGGTGCCAGCTCACTGACACCAGTTCCCAGCACGGTGCACGTAATGAGTCCAGATTCCTTCTGCAGACCAAGGCCTCCGACCAGCAAGGAGGCCTCCTCGGTCCTTAGTAGTCCTCTGAATGCCGGCACAGAAGATGCCAAAGCCCTTGCTTGCTTTCTTCTTTACCTGCTGCTCCCAGGGCCGCTGTGCTTCTAGGTTTGTGTTTCCAAAGAGCCCCAAAGAGAACTTGCAACTCACAGTTACACCAGGCCCCTGTGTTCAGACTGTGGGTGCCGTCTGGACAGGTGAGGCCAGACCCGGAGGGAGCTTCTCGGGCCTCATCAGCCGTCCAGGTGACCAAGTGTCTCGAACAGGATCTTTCGTGGAGCGAGGAAGCAGGTCCATCCTACATTTACTGGGTACTCTTGTAGGCAGGGTGTCACCATCGGGTCACAGAGAGAAGAGGGAGATCTCGGGCCTGTCCTTGGCGCTGCGGAGAAGGTGTTTCCTCATTCGCTCCAGACTCTGGAAGCTTCTGTGTTCCTTGGTTTATGGTCGCCTTTCAGCTCCAAAGCCAGTGACGGCTGGTGGAGCCTTTCTCATGCTATGTTCCTGTCATCCCATCCCATCTTCCTTTCCTGACTCCTTATCCATTTATGAGTTCCCCCTGGTGACACTGTGCTGCTCCTGGGTGACCCATGACAATATGCCCGTGTTACACTTCTTAACTTGATCACATCTGCAAAGTCCCCTTTGCTGTGTCACGTGACACATTCGCAGGTGCCATGATACATAAATACTCATGTAACGTTACTAGGTGTCAAAAAAAAGTCCACCTGGATGACGTGTTGCTCTCTCTCTCTCTTCCTGTCATTTTCTGATTTGGTAACCAAGGAAACCAGGTGCTGGGAAGTTAGGCCCACATTTCCTCCTGCCCCATGCCTCTTAGATGTGGAGGGCCCCCTGCAGGGCCTCCTGTTCTCCTGGCCATCCCCCGGACAGTTACGGCGCCTGCCCCCTTCCAGAATGGAGAGGGTGGCCTTGAGGTGAGCGCCCTTTGGGAAAGGACACTCCCTTTTCCTCTTTCACTTGGGGACCCTGCACCAGTGGCAGATTAGGAGCGTGACTCTATCTGTATTCAAGCATCCTAGCTATAACTTTCCTTACCCCTTCTCATGGCACCCAAGGGTCGCTGGTCACCATGGGTGTGAGGGGCAGGCAGTATAGGGAAATGGAGATGCACCCCAAACTCTGCAGGATGAGAGGGATGTCACATCTGGGTCCAAAGGTGCCCCATGAACAATGTCTTCGCTGTTGCTTGCTGCCTGCTTGTGGGAGGTGTTCTGTCTATGGGGAGCCTGTCCTTTGCGTACTGGAGGTGGGTGACTGGTTTAAAGATGGAGTGAAAGGTACTTGCCCCGTGCTCCCATGGGCCGATGGCATGACACATGGCACTTTGCTATGGGTCACATTAGAAAATTCCTAGCCAGGTGTGGTGGCACACACCTGTATTCCCAGAACCAGGAAGGCTGAGGCAGGAGGATCGCCACGAGTTCAGGGTCAGCTTGAACTACATAGTGAGTTCAAGGCCAGCCTGGAGCTTGTCTCTGAAAAAAAAAAAAAAAGAAACTCTTGGGGACCCCAGAATTCCTGGACTTCATCTAGGACAAGAAAACAGAGCAAGATCCTATGTGTAGAAACCTCCTCATGCCTGAGTGTCGAAGGGCCTCACTCTGACCTGCTGGTCGCTAGAAGCAGGAGGAGCCCATCCATCCCAGCCCTGTACCACGGGGCAGAATTCCTAAACACTCAGGTAGTTCCAGCTTTTCCCGGATACCAGTGAGGGGGATGCTTACAGAAGGACCAGACCCCCTTTTCTCTTTGGCTCACATTCTTGCACACCCCATTTGTCCTTGAGCCCTTGTCACCTCCAGCACCCAGAAAAGCCTTCTTCAGCCCTGCTGTTGTGAGTTTCTTGGCTGCTCTGGGAAGGAGGGATGGGCAGAGTGGGGAAGAGCGGTGTGGCTCAAGCCCAGCACAGTTCTCCCCTCCAGCTGCTGTCTGGGCAGTGACACTGTGGGGGTGGGGGAGGGGGCGACTCCCACCTCTGTTCAGCGCTGGATGGCAAGCGCTGGCCAGAGTCCGCATACACAGAAGGAAACCGAGGTTTAGCACCAGGGTCTCTAAGGCAACCGGAAGGAAGGTGGCCCAGAAGTGGGTCAGGCACCCAGCGATGTCAGATCGAGAAAGAATCTGAGTCAGAAGAGAGAGGCCGTGGTACCATCCTTACCAGCCCCACGGGCCTGGAAGTGACAGATGGCTTGGGCAGTCCGGCTGTGGTTGGCACTGTCACTTTTGATTTTCAGATAGTGTGTGTGCTAAGACAGTGTTTCATGTCAGTACTGTCACGGGCCGAGGGACGGTGACGTTCATCTGCACCGCCCTGGCTGGTGACAGAGTGGCTTTGCTGGGAAGTACATCAGCTTGAGGCCCCGGGATGGCTGAGTGGTGAAGTCCTGTGAGCATGCGGCCTCCTTCTGGTAACCACCTCGGGGAAATTCAGGCCCAGACTCTGCCGATCGCCTGCAAAATCTCTGATGCTGCCTGGGTGTCACAGTTGACTTTGACATCACGGCCCAGACCCCAAGCTCCGTGACCCTGGAAGTGTCATGCCCCTCTCAGCTGCAGTGCTTGTGAGGTGCAGCTCCGGGTCCTGCTGGTGGCCTTTTCCTGCCTCCCCTTTATACCTAGAGTGTCCCCTCTATTGCCCAGTACCTGCTTCGGCTTCTCTGCCAGTCCTCAATCCTGTCCCCAGACCCAGGGGACCTGGGGAGCCTCTTACTTAGTCCCAGAACAGAATGCCCAAACCTCAGCACTCGGGGAACCCAGGGCTGGCTGCATCTTTGAGGGGCAGTGTCCTGCAGGACCCTGAGCAGCCTCACTGGCCACCACCCACTGGGGACAGCATTGCCACTAACCTATCTGTGACAACCAGAACTCTAAGACACCATCATCTGTGCCCAAGTGTCCTCAGCGGGGGACTGCCGAAGTCTCCCCCTTTGAGGACCACCAGAGGTGACCTCATTTTGGAGGTGGGACTGGTATTGGCAGTGATTTCACCACCTCGGACTTTCAGGTGTGTGCCCTGACACTGTATTCTGGCACATTCTCTGGGGTGGCAGCTTGGTGACCCCAAATCCCATCCCATGACAGAAAATTCACAGCTTAGTCAGATTTGAGCCATGAATTTTCATGCCGAAGTCAAACGCTGGAAGTCATCAAGAGCCGGTGTCCTCTGTTTATCTTTTTATTTATGTTAACGCTAGAACTTTTTTCTCAGTGTGCCGTGGATTTCATTTTTGCCTTTTGTTCCCAGTCAGTATTCTCTGACCTCTTGTTCCTCCCCTGCCAGCTCCTCTTTTTATTTTTATGGAACTGGTCCTCCCCTGCCAGCTCCTCTTTTTATTTTTATGGAACTGGTCCTCCCCAGAGATGTTTATTACTTTTCTTCTTACCTCCTCAGCTCAGTAAAAGTCCCTCAGCAGATTTGGGAGTAAAACTTAAATCCCAGCTGAGAAAGTCCCTGTGGAGAGGGCAGCTAGGTGAGGGGCCTCCCTGGCGGCCCAGCTCCGGAGTCTTTCCACGTAGGGCTCTGGAGAGCAGTGGTGCCTCAGGGCAGCAGGAGGCCACAGGGCTCCCCGGCTTCCAGAGGGGCGCTCAGAGGCTGTGAGCATCTTGCTGCGGTTGGCAGACGTAACCAGGCAGTTAGGAATATTCTGCCTGAGGGAGCACTTTCCGTCTTGGAGCCAGGTAACATGTTAGCTTAGAACCATTCATATGTTTCTCTCGAGTGTGTGGGGCATTTCTGGTTGCACTGTGGAGCAAATGTGTGTGTGTCTGTGTGTGTGTGTGTGTGTGTGTGTGTGTGTGCACACGTGCATGCTTGCCCCTCTAGTCTCTCCTTTGTGCAAATTTTCCATGAGCCTGGGCCTCTGGTCCCTCCTCCCTCTCAGACTTTCTGCTTGGCCATCAGGGGCTTGCTGCTGGGTTTGGACACTCACTGCCAGTTTGGGGCTGGCACTGGTCAGGCCAGAGGACATGATGAGGACCAGGTTGGGAGGCGAGGAGGAGGACATGGAGGCAGCAGGGGCTCAGCACTAACGAAGCCATACTGGCCCAGGGCGGCCTGTGTGTGTGGTGGGGGAGGGCCAGGCCTGCTGTCCCTGGGAACTTCCTGCCTGCTGGTGTGGGGGACTGGGACAGCCCCTGCCTACAACCTGTCTGAGGTGCTGGGTCCTGAAAGAGAAGAAGGTACCCTGGGGGACAAAGGCGGTAAGGGAGGACAGAGGACAGGGGATGAGGGGTCAGGAACACAGGAACGGGTGATCAAAATATACAGTGACTGTTTAAATTTTTAAAAATAGTTATTACTGACAAAAACATTGCTTTTTAAACCCCCTCAAAATACACTCCCCCCCCCATGATGAGTGTGCTTTAGACACACTCATCCCATCCTCCCTGCCACTTTCTGAAGCAGTTCTGCAAATCCTCCCTCCTGAGTGTCTTTACGAGGTGTGCTCGTAAGTAGAGAAAACACTGCTGCCTGGTGCCATCTAGCAGAAAGGCAGCCTCGTGAGAGCGTCACCCTGTGCCCTTATCCACCTTATTCACCAGGCCTGGTACTGTGGGACTCCTGGCTCTTCCCCAAAGTCGGAGTGACAGGTAAATAAATGTCTGAATCAATTCAGGAGATGGAGGCAGATACAACTGAAGACACTCATGAAACAGGGCTTGCAGAACTGCTCCAGGAAGTGGTGAGAATGATGGGATGAGTGTTTTCAAAGCAAGGGGAGATTTTGGAGAGACTTATCGGCAATGTGTCTTTACTGTAATAATTAAATGATAGCTATGTTTTTTTATCACACCTTGTAGACACTGGCTTTCAAATAGAGCAGGTCAGAAGGACAAAGCCTGACCTTTGAAGGTGCCAGGGCCCCACCCCAGATCGATGCATGAACTAGAACATTAAACAGGTTTCTAAAAGGGAACTCTGACCTCACGCTCACCTCTCACCCCAGGTCTGAGCCTGGTTCCTGATCTGGTGGGAGCTTATCAGTTAGTGCCAGAACAAAGGCGAAGTATGTTTGCAAGCATTTATTTGAACGTAACACTTGTTATGTTCCAGGTTCTAAGTGGTGAAGGTGTAGCCAGGAACCTAGCAGAAGCCTCCAGAAAAGCAGAACAGCAGCGTGGAGGTGGAGGTGGGGAGGGACGGGTGCAAAGGGGACTTTTTGGGGTGAAGGCAATTTCTGCATATTTATCAGCACAGGTACACGCATCTGTCGGGCACTCATTGAACTGGATGCTTAAAATAGATGCATTTTATGTAAATGACGCTTCCGTAGAGTTGATTCAAGAACACAGCCCTGCCCCGGCTGGCCGCGCTCGTCCTGGTGGGAGGAGAGTGACCCAAAGCCGAAGCTGTAGCACATAGTGATGAGCTTCCGGCGGCGGGCATCGGACTGTGGTTCCAGAAAGGCCGTTCTGTTCCCACCAGGAGTACGAGTGCCTGGAGCAGGAGAATGCCTTACTGCGCAGGGAGATCGCCAAGCTGAACGAGGAGCTGCAGCAGCTGAGCCTGGCGCTGAAGGAGCACGAGAAGATGTGCCCACTGCTGCTCTGCCCCATGAACTTTGTGCCTGGGCTGCGGCCTGACCCAGTGGCCAGCTGCCTGCCGCGATGACCCTCGAGGACCTCCTCCTCTCTCCACCTTTACACCCTGAGCCAGGGTCCTGCGTCCTGGGGCAGGCACCTGGGTCCTGCCACCTCCTTCGAGGAGCTCTGGGCCTCTGCACTGCGACACTGCTGCTTCCCGCGGGAGAAGGCTGGTATCACACCTGACCCTCAGGGACCTGGGGCCAGGGAGCCAACGAGAAGCCACTCACAGAAGTCGCAGCCAGTGGGTCCTGCTGTTCTACAGGATATGTTCTTTAGGTTTTGGGTAATAAAAATGGTCACTGTCTTGCCTTTCTCCAGATTCTTGGGATTTAGGGGCACAAGGCAGCTTCTCTTCCCTGACCCTATGGTGGGTCCCACCTGTGTGTCACCCCCACGGCCTCATCCATGGTGGACCGGAGAGTGGCACTGTGCCGGAGAGTGGCACAGTGTTTTTCAGTTTTCTGCAGGGCAGAAAGGACCCAGCCAGACCTGACTTGTGTTTGGCCAGGCTTTGTGTGACCCTGCACTTGGCCCTGCCTCATGCTGACCCTCATGAGAGGGTCTCTTCCAAGTGGTTCTCCCCTCCTCCCTGCAGTCCAGATCACCTTCCCGCTCTGCAAGGAGCTCATTGGAGGACAGAATTACTTTATGTTAGAGAAAAAGGAAATTGCTCCCCTTATTTAAAAACAAATATTTGGGTAGATGAGACAAGGAGGAATTTCCTTGTCCAAGTCCATTCTCTCAGGTAAGATAGACCCATACCAAGCTAGAACTCGGCCACTTGGTAAGGTGTCCCCATCCTTTTCAACCTCTGTCCCTGGAGCGGCAGGGGTGGTGGAGGGCGGGGCTGTCCCACTGTAAAGGGAACAAGAAGTGGGAACAGAAAGGAGGTATTTTGTTGTAAAAGGTTAAAAAGAGAAAGAAAAAAAAAGAGGGCGGCCCTCGAGTTAGGGACCCTTAGGTGTGAATACTGGCTGCTCCCCACAAACCTGCTTTGCCGGGAAGGCTTCCTCTTCCCCTTGGAGTTCAGCTTGGCTTATCCATCTCTGATAGGCTAAAAGCTGCAAGACTCCTGCTTCTGGCAGGAGAAGGCAGGAGTTGAATAGGGCTAGGACCTGCAGGGAGCCCTGGTCGAAGCTTCCCATGAGGCTGCTTCAGGACTGGTTAGGAAAAAAGGAGACTGCAATTCTTGGGCCTGTCCCTGCAGATGAGGGCAAGGGGCTTGCTCAAGGTCGCTGCAGACCCCAGCTGGTCTGACTTTGGGTTAAGGGGGAAGTCAGCAGGTGTCTAACTGCAGGGATCAGTTTGCCCCTCAGAGGCTGGCCAGATGCACCTGGCAGAGCGTACTCGGAGCCGCACAGGGCCTGCGTGGCCGTAATGTGCAGTGAAGCCTGTGTGTGTAGGTGTTTGGCTCCAGGTCGTGCAGAGGGCTCTGGCTCTCAGCGCCATCCTAGACCCCTCGCCTGACCTCTAAATTCCAGCCGTCTGGCCTGGCTGCTATCCTCTGACCTACGGTCACTGCTGTTCTATGCTACCCCCATGACACTACACAGCCAACCCCAGCTGTTCACACCTGCCGGCCCCATGGGTCTGATTTTCCTTCAGCCCTGACCAGCTTGACCTCATGGAAACCCCTGGCTCCATACCATCATGCAGTGGCCAGTTTCCTTCCCTTCCTTTGCTCTGTGCCATCAAGGCCTTAGAGTCCCTCCAGATCCTCTAGTTTGGCAGGCTGGGGAGGAGAGATGGAGTGAGGGCTGTGCCCTGGAGGTGACAGGACCCCTACCCACAGCCACTGGCCAGAAGTCAAACACATAGCTTGGTCCGTATGAAGGGAACTAGGTTTGGTAACTGTTAGTCTCTGACCTAAGTTTGAGGCTTCACTCTTACCCCCTTCTGGGAATGGCCCACTTGAAGGTTGCCAGTAAACTGCTCAATCTATCGGGGACATCTTGGGCTTTGTCTCATCTGACTCCTAACAGCCTAAGACACCGGTTGGAATGAGTCTTCCTCTGTGTCTCCTGCTTCTTGGCAAGGTAAAGGGGACTGCTTCCTGCACTATCCCTGTCTGGTACCCACCTCCCCAAACATACACAGACACACACACATCCAGGGCCTGAAGTCAGCCCTGTAAGTCCAGACTCCCATAGAGCTCAGATCTGCTCAACGAGTTGCATGCTCTGCTCCTGACCTCAGCGTTTTACCTTCAAACTTGCCTCTGTTCTTATCTGTTTATTACTGGGTGCATCATCCAGGGGCTCAGAGACCTACTTAACCCTCAGTCTCCGAGATAATCTGTAAATCCTGAATGCTGTCCCTGAATATTCCCCAGATCCATGCAGTTAGTTCAGTACTGGATTGCTCTGTCCGTTATCAAGAACTTTATTCAAAGCTGTGCATGGTGGTGACACCTGACATCCCAGGTGCTCTGGAAACAGGCTAGAGTATTGCAGTTTTGAGTTCAGCCTGGGCAGTTTATTGAAACCTTATATCAATGTTTTAAAAAAGGACTGAGGCCCTGAGTTCTATTGCCAGTGCCAAAAAATTATTCAAATTAGCTGGCTGTTGTGTTTTCTTTTATGGTGAGCCTGAACGTCAGCAAGACCCACCTGTCTCCACTTCTGACAGTAAAGCAGTACAGCACGGGGTGGGGAATGCAAGCTAAGGTAGCCCGGGATGCTGGGGGTCAAGGGCCCTTCGAGGTCCCTGCAGGTGGGACAGTCCTGCAAGCCAAATGCTCGCTGAGGTGCATCTATCCTGGACAAGTAAAAATTCTATATAATCCTAGAGACAAATTACATTTTGCCAGGAGGGACAAAGGACACTGAGGGTGGGATTTGCGAGGATTGGGTTTGCTTGGCTTGGAGTCATGGCTGCCTGCTGGGCCTTTGACTGCAGCCTTAGAGTGTCTGTCTGTCTCCCGGGCGGGCGGGGTCAGGGAGGCCCCTGCGAAAGAGCCCTCAGCATAGAAAGTGTCAGGGTGGGAGGAAGCTCTCCCCTCTCACCCACAGCGATGCACCACTTCCTGTCCGCAATCCGCCCCATATTGCACCAGCCCAGCCCTGACGCTTGGAGTTTCCCTGCACTGAATCAGACCCCGCGTTCAGAAGGATGACTTGGCTGGACAGGAAATCCAGAGACTCAAAAGCCCCTCTCTTCTTACTCGGCAGTGCTAGGGTCTTTGAAACCCCGGGTTTATTTACTGACAAGAGGCTGTGGGCTTTGCCCCAGCAACAGCTAGAAGCAGAGGGGAGGCCCCAGCTCTCCCTGAGGTGCCTTCCCAGCCGATAGATACCCAGGAAGTCCCGCAGGGTTGTGTCTGCAGGAAGAGAGCTGGGGAGCAAGAAGAAAGGGGGTGTGTGTGGTGGGGAGCAGGAGAGGGGACAAAAAGGAGAAGAACCAGGAAGAGGGAGGAAGAATGGAGGAAGGGAACGAAGCCCTCGCCCTTTGCTCCTGCACCATCCCTCCTGCTGGGGAGCTTATGCTGAGCTAGGGAACCCTCTTGTCCTTGGAAGCTCTCCAGGGCCACGTACACAGTATGATCAGAATATGCCAGGAACGCTAGAAATTGTTAAATTACTCCAGTAAGAGACACACTGCTGTTAGCCCCCTTCAAAACATTCAGCTCACTGCAAACACCTGTTCTCTTCTCCTTGTGACTTTCTGAAGCAGCTTTGGAAGTCCTTCTGCCTGTCTGCAGTTGTGCTGTCGTCATGACTGCCTTGGTGTCCTGAATTGACTCAGAAGCTTTATAGCAATTTCTATCAAGTGTGCCTTCATTTATTAGGTCTGACACCAGGCAACGCTGGCTCTTCCTCAAAGTCAAAATGACCGTGAAAGGTAAACATTTTGAATTGACTCAGGACATCGAAATAGCCACAACCGAACCACTAAAGACACTCAGGAAAGAGGACTTCAAGAACGGCTTTGGAAAGTGGCAAGAACATTGGAATAGGTGTGTTTGAAATGAAGGGGAGAATTTTGAAGAGGATAATGGCAGTGCGCCTGGTACTGTAATAAAGTTTTTAGAATTTCAACATTCACTATGTAGTTGGGGGCTTAAAAGCCAGAACTCTGGAAACTACCCCGTGCTTGGGGTCTTGGGTACTTTTCTGGACTGCCCATCTGGAAACTGACCACTCTGATGGGACCCTAATGGATCAAAGGAAATCAGTGTGGTGATCACTGCCACTGGGAGCATTAGCACCATTACCGTGACCGAAAGTCTGGGCTTACAGGTGGCAGTGCACTTGGTGTGACAGCTGAGCAGTGTTCTCTACTCCTAGAGATAGCTCACCTGCACTTTGGGGTGTTCTAGCATGACCTTTTTCTGCTACAGTATTCTTAAGAAAATCAGAAATGTCACCACAGATTCAACCAAAGGCTACTAGCTCAGAATTGTGACCACAGCCCTGAGGGGAGGGTTTGAGGGAGAGTCCAGTGTTTGCATCCCGAAAGGCCAGAGATGTACTTGGAACTTCCCTGGTTTCCCTTAGTAATCTGCTACCTATCTAGTCATCATTATTCAAGGTTCTTCTGGAACAGGTGTGCATTTTCAGTTGTTCTGTGCGAGGTAGAACGTGCCCTGCTCCAGATTCATCCCCTGTTGTCTGAACTGGGGCTGACAGGTTCTTGGATAAGGCAGTCACAGGCATCACCAGTTTCCCATCATCCACAGCTTTCACAGAGGTTTCTAGAAGTCTTCTAGATGAGCAACAGAAAGTACCTTGTAGAATGTCAGACTGACAGAAGGCTCTATGCACCAGCTAGTTCTCTTGGAAATCGAGAAAGCAAGGAAGTTTGAGAAATGCTGGTGGCCCCGTGTCCTGAGACCTGAAAGCATAAGCAAATTTAATTTGTCAATGAGTTTTCAGCAAATTATTTCTAACTTTACTGTTTCTTCTAATAATCAATTGATTGCAACAGACAAATAGATTTTTGTAAAAATAAATACTAGGGGTTGGGAATTTAGCTCAGGGGTGCAGTGCCTGCCTGGCAAGCCTGAGGTCCTGAGTTTGATGGCTGGTACCCAAAAATAATTAGTAAAATGACATTTATAAAATAAAAGGGCCAGGGATTTAGCTCAGTGGCACAAGTGCCTGCCTGGCGAGCATGAGGTCATGAGTTCAATCCCCAGTACAAAAAAAAAAATTAGGAAATAAAACAGTTACTAATGATTAGTTATTATTACCAATTATGAGTTAACTATGATTCACACTATTAGTGGCTAAACACCTATTTAGTGGGTAGGGATCAAGTCCAGCAAGAGAAAGACTCCCAACATACACACCACTCAAAGGGCCC